GGTATGGGGGGTCCGGGGGGCCTACCCTGGAATTTTTTTTAAGAAAATAGGCCTTCCCAGATTGACTTTTAAGCAGTTTTAGCATACAATTTGTGCATTATTTGAAAGTTAAAAATTGACTAGTGATACCTTTTCCAGCGTAATTTTATTTTGGTATATGGACTAGGTATCAGGGTTGCCACAAAAATTTGGAAATGATTTTCCCTGACTTTTCCAGGTTTTCCCTGACGAAAAATGGAGAAATTCCCTGACCTTTGAGAACGCGCACCATGATCGCACAGCCAAATTTACACCTTGCTAGCTACCATCGCACTAATATAGCGTCTCATTTGAAACGTGCTTAAGCTAAGGAGTCAGATATTAACTGTAGAACATTTGGAAATACAAAAAGGGTTGTTAACTTTTTCTTTTAATTTTGATGCTTTTGACTTTCTTAAGCAACCCAATAATTGTTTTAGAAATGAAAACTTTTGAACGATTGTTCTTTTGAAGAAACACTCTAAAAAAAAGGGTCTTCCCTGGTGTTTGTTTCTCTACTTATCTCTCCCTCCCCAGGATTTTTCAGACACCTATTTTTAAAGTGAGCTTCAAATGGTTTATTTTTTCAAGAACTTGGATGCTTTGCGTTTGCATAATTATAGACACTCGAATTACTTTAAAGGAGAAAAGTAAACGGTTAGTGGTTAGTCATCGGTAGTAGTTGAAATTTCAAAAATACACACAAAAACTGGGCATTCCAATTTGCGTTGCTTGTTGCGTTGGCGACCAAATACGGCTGCATAATTTAACTCTTGAATGCATCGCGAGATATGCCACTTCATCGCAATTTATATTGCGTTCAAAACCGAAAAAAGAAAGATTTTAAGCAACTTGTGAAAATTGTCAATTTTTCCCTGACTTTTAGCTGTTTTTGGTCAAATTCCCTGACTTTTCCAGGTTTTCCCTGAATTCCCTGACCATGGCAACCCTGAGGTATTAATTTCTGCAGTGTTGAGCAATCTTTGGTTTGTTAAACTTAAGTTATATAATAGTTCTGTCTTTAAAATATTTCAGTAAATGTCGAGGAGCACTTTTTTTTCTCTCCCCCCCCCCCCCCCCCCCCCCCCCCCCCCCCCCCCCCCCCCCCCCCCCCCCCCCCCCCCCCCCCCCCCCCCCCCC